CCGAGATCCTCATAGTAATTCTTTAAAATGTCTGTAGTAATAGTTTTCATTATATATTTATATTTTTTTGTAATTTCTTGTGCGGGGAACAATATTTGTTGGTTTTCATACTCAAAATATGTAGCTTTATTAAGTGTTTGATTAACAAAATTTTCTTCCATGTTTTCTCTACGCACACATTGATTGTCTAAATATTTTCCAGCAGAAAAACCTAAGGTTCCTATAGCGATCTCTAAATCATCTAATGAATCATTATAATCAAACTTACCAATGATCCTTTGTTTAAGGATTTTTAAATTATTAAGTGGAATTAGTTGTATTTCATTTCCACGACATTTATTAGGCTTTAAAAATTGCAGTGCTTTTATCATTGGCACAATTGCTTTTTCGGCCATTCGAATTTCATTCACTATATGTCTCACACACAGTTTAGAATAATGCTGCATTTTTGGATCTCTACATACCACTGTCAATCCAGCAAGTGTAAGTGCTATTAATCGCAATTCCTCCATGTACTTACAATTCAATATCATATAAATTGTACAATTCTTCAAGATGAAGTTACTTTTATTTATTCCATTTTCCTGATTTACTGATAGTAATTCATCTTTGATATTTAATTGTCGGTCGCTTTTTAAAATTTTTGCGTTAGGTCCATCAAAATTTGTCCAACCTTTCGAACTAAGAAGTTGATCTAATTGTGGGATATCTATACATGAAATAATTGAAAATATAGAAATGTAAAAGAAAAAAATATACACATAATAATAATAACTGATATTCATTTTTATGTATTTTAATTGTCTTTTTTAATGAATATTAAAAATAATGAATATTATTGATATACTGTTTCCAATCAATAAAATTAAACATGAATACATTTTATAAAACAATTCACGTCATTATATAAAAGTCTGTAAAATATATTAACGAAATAAGAAAAGCAATTGAATAAACAAACAAACTAAAATTTACAACATAATTAATTTGTTTACAAGTGTTTTCACAAAATATTGAAAACATGAATAGTTGCATTATTTTTTTGATTATTGGTGTAAAATATTAGAAAATTTGACATATTTAAAAAATACAAATTGTTATGACCTAGTAACCTTACTCTATGTGCACCATTCAATGGCATACGGACATTACATAGATTTAATTTTTTAAGTCGCAAGGCTACAAAATAATGACCGTCAGCTACACCTTAATATGTAAGCTACGCCAAAAGTAGGGGTGTCAATACGTAACACTTAGCCGGTCATAACTTTGGTTAGTTGGAACCGATAAGTCTGACACATACCTGCTTGTTAACAACGAATAGGCTCCTCAGCCCAGCCATATTAAGTGAAATGGTTGTGAACTTGTTACAGGATAGATAGTCCAAAGATAAATTGACCATATGTCACATGGCGCATCGTAAAATATATAGCATTATCACAGAAAAGAAACTTGCATCACACACAAACGAGTAAAAATAATAAGAATACTTTTTTTATGATTAGTATTTCATTCAATTTATTAGATTTGAATAATAAGCATAATTCATGAATTATAGTATACATGTTTTCGTAAAACAAATTAATAAAACCTCTCAGTGGATATACTAAAGTGTGAATAAAACGATAACAATAACAATAATATTATTATTATTAATTATATTTAAGTATAACTTTTTATTTTAATTAATTTTATAATAGTTCTTTAAGAAAAAAATTATCATCACTTTTATATAATAAGAAGAGTAACATAAAAGATAAAAATTTCGTATAAAACACAAGATAATATTGAGTAGATTAATTAATGAAAGTAATATTAATTCACAATATTAACAAAAATAATAATAATGGCATCATTAAATCCTGGATTAATAAATTTAATTGCCAATGTAAAAATATACATTATAATAACAGATATGAACTTAGAAACTAGTTTCAAAGAACATGTAGCAGAAATAAGATTAAACAAACCAAATCTAAAAACACATTATGCCGGACACATATTAGTAACCGAACGTACATTGAAAAATACTTCACAACAATAAATACACAACTTATTAAGTACTTCAATTAAATTTTAAAATCTAGAATATACATAAAGAAATAAAAGACAACTGTATTAATAATGTCTTAAATGTACAAAAACTGTCCATTTTTTAATCATTTACAAGGTACGCAGTCTAGTGTGGTATCACACGCGCACGGAGATAAGCAAACAAGGGGAGTTCAAAATATGTACATTATTTAATTACGTAGTCTACACGGGTATTTTAAATAACAAAAAGGACAGCAGCCTGTTTATTAATCACTCGCCACAGAGATATTTTGTCGACACAACCTAAAACATTAACAATCACAAAAACTAAATAGATGTGTCGAGATTTAGTAGGCACGACAAACGGTAAGGCGTTGAAAAACAACACAGAATACACGAAGCTGTCCCAAACGAGCTGTACCGCAGGACGTCGTGAAAAATTAGCGGTCAAAGACGATAATCGGAACGAAATCAAAAGCATAACTAGCAATTCCCATTCGGCGGTGGGCTTTTCTCGGCGTCCGGGACGGGGAATGCACGATGGCCATCGATGGTCATGTTAATTGCTGGACGGCTGACACGGAGAGGGTCACGAGTGAGTAGAGTGCGGTGCCACGTCAACAGGACAATACCCAATTTCAATAACAATAATTATACACTTGTCACTTTCACATACCCTCTAATTTTATACTATTTACGAATGTTTATGCATTTTATAAAGAATTTATTTTTAAAACTTTTAGATGACTTATTTAATTTATTTACATTAGCAATTTTTTTAAATAGTTAAAATGTTTATATATTTAAATGTTTTAGTAAACTGATGATGAACTAAAATCGAAACTGTAGTTGTTACCATTTAATTTTTAATACTTTTACACAACTGTGAAACTACTTTTTCATTTTATAATTAATTATTTTTTTAAATTAATATTTTAAAACACTAAATTATTTATAAGTATAACAATGTTTAATATTATAATTTTTACAATATTTTGTGATCATTTTGGATTCAGTAATAATTAAATAATTACAGTTAAGGATTAAGACCAATAATTTATCAATACCTATTAAAGATGTGTACAATTTTTTTCACTATATCATTAAAATTTAACTTATAATTTATATAAATTAAATAGAGTATATTAAGAAAAATAATATAACTTTATTTACACAAGGAAGATTAAAAAAAAATTAAAACAATGTATTTATTGATACTTTCAATATTTTCAGATAGGGTATCAAATAATTTATTACAGATCGAAATCATTTTTCAACAAAAATTAATACTATAGGTTTTATATAATCATAAATTATTGTAAAAATAGTAAATCATTGTATTGTTATTATTATATTGATTAAAATGTTTTAGTTTAGCTTTTACTAGCCATATATAGATTTTAAGTTTTAGATAAGACAATACCTACAAGTAACTACCATAATTTTATTAAAACATAATAATATAGAGAATATTTTTCTATTCTATATTTTACAAATATGTAAATCATATACTTCATACTTCATTCGAAAAACTGCGATTGGTTAATGTTCGCAAAGTAATTCTTAAGTACAAAAACAAACTTTCGCAATAAAAATTTTGTGACGTAACAGCGTTTGGATAAAAACATTGAATTCGCAATTATAAATCGAATAAGTTCAATACAACTGTATTTGATTAGAAAATGTGTTCTCTAATTGCTTACTTATATTTTGCAGAAATTATGACAATATCTTAATAACTTTAAAACATTTTACGAAAAATACTTTAAGTGTTACATTATATCAATTTATATTATAAAAAATTATTCATTTAGCATAAGCCAATTAATTTATCTGAAAATTAATTAAATGAAAATTTTTTAAGAGAAAAAAAACCATGATTTTATGCAATTAAAAATAAAATTTCTTATTATACATTTAAAAACTTAAATTTTATTTGTAAATTTATAGAATTAATTTATATGTTGAATTCACTACCGGTTACAACTATATGTGTGCTAAATTATTAACGTCGCAGTCCACAATTGTAAAATTGTTTAAATCTTTGCACGTCAATGTCCAATTGATTATACTTTTCACTATTTAACTTTAAATTTTTTAGTACAATGCGATGACATATTTTTTAAATCTTGAGATAGCTATAAGTTCAACATCTTGTTATGCTAGGAATAGCTAAAACACTCTCCTCTGAGTATAAAAAACCATTTCTACCGGCTAAAACCAGTTCTTTCGGTTATTAAAACAAAAAACACAATATTGTGCCACTTTAATTAAAAATTCTTACTCTCTGGGACTTTAATTTGAATAAGACTTGGTTTTTTTTTAAATATTTTTGAACTTAAAATATTTTCAAATTGATTGGGACTTATGAATATTTTTCAATTTAAGTAATACTTTTAAATATCAAATTACTAAATCTATTGCAATTCTATACTTATTGGGTAGCCAGTCTCAGAGCTTTTTTTTAAAGATCATCAGTATTACATTTTAGGGCCCCATTGTAGTTAATCAATTACAATACAAAGTCTTGACAACGCACGAAAACCTACGAACATAGTTTTTAGTGTTTAATTTTTTTCTTGGTAATTGCTGTACTGAATCTTTTTAAGCGCCTGGAAACATTGGACTACCACAACACCGCTTTGATAAAACTTTTACACGGATATAAATATTTCTTAATTTTATTTTTTCAGGTCAAAAGAAGCTTTAAAAAATCTTGATATCGATCTTTTAACAAACTATGCTCATTAAAAAAAATATTAATTATTTAACAAAAATAAAAAAAAGGGTACATTATAAGTTACATTTCTAATAAAAAAAAAGTATTTAGAATATTTTACACAGAAAAATCAGTCGTTGATTTTATGTAACGAAATTGAGTTATTTTACATAAAATTTTAATCATAAATTATTATATTGACTATACAACGCAAAGTATAAAACGCGTATACGCAGTGCATTTAATACACGTAATCAACGTTGGATTACTCAAAATATATTTACGTGGCATAGAATGTAAGGTAAGGGCAAATTTTTGTTCATACTTCTTAACCAAAAACAATCTATTTATTGTAATAAAACATTAAGATAAATTAAACAATTTTATAGGTATATTTAACATAATTCATTCAATATTGTTCAACCACCGAAATCACTTCATAATCTTGTCCCTTTTACCTATTTATGTTATTAATTTTTACTTCGATGCGAAGCTGAGAAGGTATTGTTATTACTATGATGTGTTTTTTTTAAATTTTAAATTAAAATTTTTTTTTTTTTTTGTGTCTGTAAACGCTCAATTTCAGCTCTCGCTGGATCGATATTGATGAACAAAACGTCAAAAGATCACAAATTGTATCTAGTTGAAGAAACTACCCTCAAAAATTGAAAAAAATTCACTCGTTCTCCGTAAATGGAAGAAATCCCCTGACAAATTACAATTTTAAAAATCGTTTATTTTTGAAATTTTTGAAATTATTTTTTCTTAAATCTACCATGACTTCTTTAAAAATTAAGAAATTAGTATAATTTTTTTTTATATAGTTACCTCAAGTATTTACTTAACATTTCATAAATTTCTTTGAACATGTGACTTTTTACCTGCCTACAGGGGACGTTTCATGATAAATTTTTTACAAAAAATTTACTTTTTCAACTTAGCTTTTGAAAATGTTCTAAAAATTTGACCTCTGGACTCGTGTTCATGGTGAAAATGACTACCGTATTCAAAAATATGCTGTGTTTGTATTAAAATTCTGGGTTTTGTATTTTATTTTATTTTAAAATACCTTACAAGGGAAATGCACAGATTCTCATAAATATTTTTTTTTTTTTTTTTATTATGAAAAGGCTTCGACAACTTATGGACATTAGCCTACAGTTTTTTTTTTTTTCATGATTATTATTTGTACATTAATTAAAGTTATAAGTTGACAATCAACTGATTTAAACTATATACACATATTTATAATTAAATTTTATACAATAATGTTATGAATTTACATTAAATTTACAAGTCTTGCGGTTTCATAGAATCTGTAAATGGCATCCGTGTTTGCTTCGCCCAGAGCTTCCTCCATGTTGTTGGGGTGGCCTAGTATACTCCGTTCATCATTGTATGTGGGACAGTGGAGTGTTAAGTGTTCAATGGTCAATGGTACTTCACATGTAGAGCAATACGGTTGTTCCTCTTTGTTGAAAATGTGTGAGTGTGTGAGTCTTGTATGCCCTATTCTGACTTTGGTGATAAGGGTATCTACTACGCGAGCTGGGTTGATAGGCGAACGCCATTTATGGACAGTTTTTTTAATGTTTTTTAATTTGTTATTGGTAGTACCATCCCATTGGGTTTGCCACTGTTGGACGGAAATTCGGTTGATTATTTTTAAAATATCTTTATATGGTAGTGACATTATTTTTGATGATAAAGTAGAAGATATGGCTAGGTTAGCCAATGTGTCAACTTTTTCATTACCATTGATTCCAATATGTGATGGGACCCACATAAATTCAAAAATTTTATCAGAGTTATTAATGATGTTGCATATTTGGAGGGATAGTTCATTTGACGGGTTATTTGATGATAATGAAGTCAGGGCACTGTAGGAGTCACTTATGATTAGTACTTTATTCATCAGGGAGGATTCAGTGTAGGTAATTGCTTCTTTAATAGCAAAGATTTCAGCCGTGAAAATGCTTGCATCTGAGGGTAGTTTGTAAAGTCTATTTATATTGCCTGAAATGAATGCGCATCCTGTGCCATTTGTATTTTTGGAGGCATCAGTATAAATTAATTCATAGTCGTGAAAGTCGGATTTTATATTTTCATTAAAAATTGAGACAATTGTGGAGTGGGGAGTAATGTTTTTGTTCAAATGGGATAGTTGGGTGTGGATTTTGGGGTGGTACTGCCAGAATGGAGTTGTTAAAAAAGGAAATGATGTCTCAATTTTGAACTCACAGTTGTATTCCTTGCATATACGAATATAAGTGTCCATAATTGATGTTGGTCCTTTGTGTTTTCTTATTTGGGCAGGATATTTGAATAGTTGATATGGTGTTTGGTATGGGAAGGCAAGTTTTTTGGTCACGTATTTTAAGATGTTTTTATTTCTTCTGTCTCATAAATATTATATAAATCTAATTGACATAGTATATACTTATATAAATATTTTTGCTTTGTGTAAGTCTAGAAAAATAACTTTGAAATTTGAATTAGCTTAAATTAACTGTTTATCCAATAGTCATGGGAGTCCTACAGTTGCCGAGTCGGTTACACTTTTGTCCATTACGCTTAAGATACGACTATACAACCCTCCCGTTGCAAAAATTTATTTGAATTTTTTCCTCAATTCTTTTTGAGTTAGGAAAAAATGTTCAATAATATTTGATTTTTATCTCATTTAGATTCAATTACTTCAATAAAGATTAAGGATATCATCACTGTAGTCTCCCCTCGTGAGAAGATATTTCTTATTCATATTATAATTATTTTTTTTATATGGTTCAATTTATGACTTATTTATTTTCTCACCTTTACTTGACCTATTTTTACAATAAAAATACAAACAAATATTGAGCTTTTCTATATATTTACTGTATAGTTTACTTAATAGTAAATATAAAATTTACTGATTGCATATTAATCTTAAAAATAGCATTTTTTTGATTCTCATAAAGTTTTCTATTTAATGATGTCAATTTTAAACTTGCGAGTTGAGCTAAAAATTATGGTAACAAATTCAACTTTTTTTTTTTATAAACTATCACAAAAATAATTTTAAAGGACCAAAAGAATAGTTTAAAATGTCATTTTGCACTGATTACACTAGTTTACAAATAAAAAAAAAATGTTCTGACCTATGACTTATGATAGTCATTTTTTATGTAAAATTGTTCACTAAGTCCGAATATGAAGTCCAAAATACAAAAAGTAAAACAGTTTTTAAGTTATTGCGAAATTAGCGTTTTTCATGTGCCGCGAAAAAGTGTTTTCATTATATTCTTAATATATTTAATTGCATTACACCGATTTTCATTTTTTTTACATAAAATTAAACAATGTTAAATTACCTAAAACTTTTAACTTAAACAATTTTTTATCTGACTTTTTACTCGTTTGCTATTTACGAATTTGCCACTGAATTTTTATCATTTTTTTCAAAATGTCTCAAAAAAATCATAGTTTTACGTAAAATACACTAATAAAAAATAAATTTATCAATAAATTTACTCAATTGACGTTATACTCTAATACATATCAAAGAAAATGATAAATTATTTTGTAATATTGATAAAAAAATGAAGAAGTTATGCGCGATTGAAAAATAAAACAAATTTCCTAATATCAGAATTTTTTATTCGATGCTTTGATTTTGTAAAATATAGAAAAATTACTCACAGTATTACTTTTCAAAACAAAATTTCGATTTTTTAAATAACTTAAGTTTATTTCATATAGTTTTATTGGGATATTTTTAAATTGAGTTAATTTTACAGTTGGATATGGTTGTGCTAAATTTTCGTATTAAAAAAAAAATTGAAGTTTCAATCCTCTAGTTAATAAAAATAGAATAATCCTACTACCTTTACATATTAAACTTGGACTTTTTAAAAATTTTGTTAAAGCTTTAAATGAAAATGGAAGTTCATTTACTTATTTGAAAACTGTGTGTTCCACATTTGTCTGATGCAAAAATTAAAGAAGGTATTTTCATAGGACCACAAATAAAAAAACTAATGAAGGACTCCAATTTTGTGTTAACTTTATTAAAAGACGAGGCTTTAATATGGAACTCGTTTCGTTTGGTTGTAAATTTTTTTTTAGGAAATTTCAAAAGTTTAAATTATAGAGAAATAGTAGACGATTTATTGATAAACTATTCAAATATAGGTAAATAGTACATTTTATAATTTTATTATTTTCTGAATAAAAGATACATGTATATTTTTTCATTTTATCGGAAATAGGGGTGAAAATGTCATTGAAAATACATTTTCTTCATGCACACTTAGATTTTTTTCCTGAAAATCTTGGAAATGAAAGCGATGAGCATAGTGAACGTTTTCATCAACAAATAAATGATACAGAACGTCGTGGAATAGTGTTTTTAATCATTGACAGATATCATCTATACTTGTCCTACTTATACTGAGTCTACACTGTGCTACCGTTTTTACTAATAATTTCATTTATTCATTTAATATAAAATTTTCCTTTTTAGTTTATTGCAGTTGATAGTAAAAACAATATATACTAATGACATTATTTTTTTTTGTAGTTTTGTCAACAAATATCATGAATACATTTTATTTGAGAATTTCATTTAGAATTAATTGTTGTGTAACATTTAATAGTAAAAAATTATTCCTTAATAATGGACAATTACAATTACAATTACTTAATACAAAGAAATCCTAATTATCAAGGAGATTCTTTTAATGCAGGCTACTAAATTTCTCTTAAAATAAAAATTTTTTTTAGTTTTTTGTTAGTTACTATTTAATGGAAACATACATATTTATATAGTAAATTAAGAAAATGTGTGGTCAATAACAGGAGCAGTTATAATAATTGGATGAGTATTTCAAAAGTTATTAATGTTTTTATAGCTAGGCAGGAGAAGGAGTGAAAATTATGAAATGTCTAATAGTAAGAGTAGCAGTACATATCCATTACCTTCAGTCAGTACTTTAAATTGTTAATGTAAATATACAATCTGTATGATTATAATTTTACTATAATAAATTTTTCACAGACAGATAGAGAACATAGATAAATTCTTAGATAAAGTTTTTTCTAAATTTTCGTAATTTGTTTTTAATTTCGATGCTTGCTATTGATTTATATATATTTCATTTAATTTTTCTATTTTATTAGTAGACAGAATATTTAAATAAATCGAGATCAATTTTTCAGTAAAAATATATTATAGTAAGATTTTTAAGATGTGAATCATTCTCATATTTATTAAGATTCTTAACCTTAATATTTATTAAGGTTCTTAATCTTAATAAATTATACCTTATAATTATTAAATAAATTCATTATTTAAGTAACGTAGTTCATGCGATATGGAACGGCTACATTGTTCAAACTGTCTCAACGCAACTGGCGTCATTCGACTTGTCACCTTTTAATAGATGTAAGCTAGTGAAATAGTTTTATCAGTCATTGTTATTTTTTACTCAATTGTCAAGTGAAGTTTACGATATGGGTACAATCGATGATTTTTTGTCTTTCCTTTTTGATATACAGGGTGTTCAGTAAGTCAGGAAACGGGTTTCTATTGTTCTCATTGTTTGTAACAATGAGAACAATAGAAACCCGTTTCCTGACTTACTGAACACCCTGTATATATTGTGGCGCAAGTAAGGAAAAGAGTTTCTATTCTTCTCATTGTTATAACAATTGACCTGTTTCCTTATTTATTGAACACTCTGTATATCGTTTTGTATTATAGATTATTGAAAATGTTGCAATTTTACATGAGATTAACGTGTGTGAGATGTATTTTTTTTTTTTTTGTTGTTTTAGTTGGCTAGTAGTGGTCTTCCACCTACAACCAGGAAATTGTTTGAAAAACAAAACTTAGAGAAGTTCTACGGGTGAAAAGTTTAATAAATTTCTTAAAAAAATCGAATTAATAATTTTACTAATTTAAACTACAGACTAAAATGAAAACTATATTAAATCTAACTTGTAAATTATAGAGGTAGAGGAAAACCAATTATTTCTAAAACTAGATTTTTAATTTTAATTATCATCAACAACCTAGTCATAATTATAAAAATATAATAAAAACAACAAGTATATATATATATATTAAAGAGTCTTTTTTTTTTTATGGATTTTCTTTTTTCATATATAAGGAAATTCGCCTAAACACAAATAGTTGATTTATTTTTTTTTAAATATGTAGTTTTGTGCAAAAAATATTAAAATTATTTGAAAATATATTATTTATAAACAGATATATATTTTATTGAAAAATTAAATTCATTTTCTTGTTTAAAAGTTTAAAAAACACTGATTATAAAACATGTATATTTTCAACATTTTACTAATATGTATTAACAGTTTAAATTTTTTATAAATTAAAGATTTTATTTGATACACTTTTTAATTAATCTAAATTTTGAAAATGATGAATTTTATGCAAGTATAATAAAATATATGGAAAATTAATAATAAAAGTTTCCTTTTAGCTTCGATGCGAAGCTGAGAAGGTATTGGTTTTACTAAGATGTGTTTATTTTTTTATTTTTATTTTTTTTTTTGTGTCTGTTACCACTTTTTCTCAGCTCTCACTGAACGGATTTCTTTCAACGATACGTCAAAAGATCACAAATCGTATCTAGTCGAAGACATTACCCTTCAAAATTGAAAAAATTTCCCTCGTTCCCCGTAAATGGGGGAAACCTCCAAAAAAATTACAAATTTAAAAATCGCTAATTTTCGAAATTTTTTCAATTTTTTTTACTAAAAACTGCCGTAACTTTTTCAAAAATGAA